CCGCAGACGAAGGAGGCGCAGCAGCCGCAGAGCAGCGCGAGGAGCGCCAGGGCGCACACCGCACGGCGCCGCATCGTCAGCGTCATCGCCATCGGTCGCAGTGGTGGTAGGGGCACAGCCGACTTGGTGGGCTGCGGGGCAGCGGAAGGGAGAAATAAAGAAAGAGGGAGCGGGAGTGCAGAGGGAACGAATAAAAAGGCAGCAGCGGGAGACCACAGCCACACACGCAGAAAAGCCACGCAGCAGCGGGAGACCTCCCAGCGGTGCGCCTCAATCAACCAGAGGCGGGGGCGGTGCGGGCGGGTAGCCTGTTTGCCTTTTTTTAAAAGTTCCCCAACAAAAAAAAAGGAGTTAAGCCCGTGACGCAGGCGCCTTGTGGCACCCGGCCTCCAATCGCACCTCTGAGGCCGCCCAAGCGCATTTGCACAACCGCGTCCGGCGGCTGTGGTGTCAGGCTCTGCACTGCGACGCCCAAAATACACTCACCCAAGACGGCGCCGGTGCCGTGGCACGTGTCCTCCACAGACTTGGCAACTGCGAGGTGCATGGGCGGCAGCCGTGCGTGGCCAAACGGCCGGGGGGCTCCCGAGGAGGAGGGGCCCAAGCCCACAGAGCGTTTGACGTCAGCCGGCCCTGTTGCCGCCGCATCCGTCATGAAGGACCCCCGAAGCAAAAACAAAAGCAAAAGGCGTATAGGGCAGGCGGACCCACAAAACGGTGCACATTACCCGCAGGGACGGATGCATCTGCCTCATCCCCCACTGGACGTCCTCAGGCACAAACATCATTTACATTCCATTGGGACCTTCACCGCCCTGCTGCTGCTCCCTCGCCGAAACACGCACACACACACACAGTTTACCTTCACCGAAATCAACTCCGAAGCCCGCAGCCCCGCAAGGGGGAGTTCGCCGCCAATTGCCCCGCTGCCCCCTTCAAAAGCACCAAAACAAAACCCGCAAAGTAAAGCGAGGCGGCCCCCTCCCGCACGCACTCCCTCACTCGGCAAGAGAGAAGGAGGAGGAGGAGGAGGAGGGCGGCGTCAACGTGCCCACAGTTCCAGGCAGCTCGCCCGGTGCGTACTGCCCAAACAACGCACGGAGCAGGCGCGCCCACATGCCCAGGAAGGCAACGCAGCAAGAGACAGAAGCGTCAAACATCGTTTGCCCGAGGCCCTCATGGACGAATTCGGCTGCACCCACTGCGGCGGCACACCAGCCAGAACGGCGCCATGCACACGAAAAAGCGAGGGAAACATTACACCAACACGAAAAACAAAGAGCAGCAGAAATGCGGTGTACTCCCTAACGCCTGGGCGATGGTGGGCAGCACACTATTTTGCTGGTAAGCTCACTCAGTCCGCAAATGCACACCCTTGTTGCGCCCAAATCCCCTCTCCCCACACAGCGATAAACCAAGAACAAAAGTTATTCTTAGTTGTGGTTGTTTTTTGGCAAGGCCCCTTAAAGCCGCGGTCAATCATGTTGCAAGTACCCAAGAAAAAAAAAACAGTCGCTAAAAAACCTCACTGCAGGCGCCGAGTGCCGCGTCCATTGCCCCACTGCATCCTCTATACCCCTGTGGCGATGAACGACGGGGGAGGTATTCGACGTGTTGGTATGATATCCTCAAGCGATACTGACGCGTGCGATTAACTTCACTGCTCATATTTGGGGAGGCGGCGCAGTTCCGCCACCTACGCATTGGCGCACAGTCGGGATGCTGCACATAAACAATCCCCAACGACGTGTCAAGCGGAAACCTTCCCAGTCCTCGTAAAAACACCCCGCCATATATTCGTAGAAGTGTTTCACGGTGCCGGCCCCGGTGTCATGCGCACCGGCCGTGGAATACTTCGGCCCAACCATCTTCCTGCGCGGCGTTCCCCCCACGATGAAAAAGGCGTCCAGTAGCGGAAAGTCTGGGGCAGCCGGCACGTACATCTCCCCACCTACGAACTCACCACCTCCATCAAGATGGTCTTCAGGGCTCTGTAGTTCAACAATTTTGCTGGGCGCACTAGCCGGTTTAGCTTCACCACACAGTACCCCGCTCTGCCTCCGCCTGGCAAAGGCAGCTCCACGTGGCCATTTGGCACCCTCACCGCAAAGCCGCCAAACGTAAACGCCACCATCCCAAACCTCTTCGGGGGCACCGGCAACCCCGCGTCCCTGCGACGCAGCAGCAGCTTCAGCATTAAAGGCATCGACCTCAACTTCGCCACCATGAGCATTGTCACCGTCGCGAGGCGGTCGGAGAGGTACTCGTCGTAAAATGCCTCAACCACAGCAGACCTCGTCAATCGGACAATGTTCACAACTTTGTGAGACACATGGGGCTCCGTCCAATTTGCCGCAAACTCCACGCCCATGTAATAATCGGCATTTGACGAGTCGATTGAGTTCACTGCGCCATGGGCGCCGGCAAAGAGCTCCTCAAAGGCTGCCTTGTCGAAGGCGCAGCGCAGCACGGGCCCCACAAAAGACATGTGTTTCTTGACCATCTCCCAGTGCTCCACTTGCATCCTCAAAGGACTGTGGCGCGTCTCCCAGGCACACATCGCCTTCACATCGTTCTCGCCCTGGCAATTCATGACGATTCGCGCGGCCTGATTGGCCTTCTCCCACGCTTTGAAGTTGTTTTCGTTTGGGGAGGACAACACATTGACGCCCCATGACTTGGGGGACTGAAAATCTTCCGTCGGTCCGTGGCCGTGCGCATCCACGCCGTTGATAATATACCCGCTCTTTTCGTGTCCAGCCAAGTCGTTAATAACACCGGTGATACTACCCGCACTCGCGTGCTCCGCCACCGCGTTGTTGGTTTTGCCAAACACGTACGTCAACTCTCCCCCAAGGCAGTAGACAACAACGTGGAGTTGCCCGTCATTGCGGCGCAGCAGCTGGCAGAGGAGGTAGGAGCCGGCAGCCATCGACTTCCCGGTCCCGGGCGTCCCGATCAAGAGACGCCGCCCCTCGTTAAACCCTTCCAAGTCCTCAGTGCCAAACTCTCCGGTTGGGTCGCCCTGGACGATCCGCCACACCCGCTCCACCTCACAGTTAACGTAGCAGTCTTTCACATCGAGCTCCTCCCGCAGCGAGCACGGCCACCCCTTCTCGGGTGAGAGTATCTTCAGCATGGGACGTGGTGCACGAAACTGCTCTGCATCGTGCACCGCCTGAAGAGTTGAGCCGTCCTTACTGCACACCCACCGTTCTACTGCTGCTTGGCCCGCCTTCACCTCCATTTACCCCCTTCAGCCGCAGGAAACCCCAAGGCGTGGCTCCACTTTGCGTTGAGCACAAACTCGCACACTCCATCCACCGTGCGGTCAGGGGCTCACTGTGGCCGCGGCGGTGCCTCCTCCGCCCTTCCGCGCTGCGCTGCGGGGCTGCCGAGTGCCGCCGGCGTGCAGCGACCTCCACCGACGCCGTCCCTGCGGCGCAGCAGATGCAGGGCGCCCCCGCGGCAGCGCGAACCCCTTCCTCGCGTCTCCCGGGCATTGCTCACATGAGTTCCTTCCCTCGCAGTTGTCGTAGGCTTGCGCTGCGGCTGAACACCCACCACCAGCCAAAGGGAGAACGAGAGGGGGAGAGGCAAAAAAGGCACAGACACACGAGTCCACGCAGCCACACGGCAGGAAAAAGAAAAAGAGAGGGCCACCACCCACACGTTGTGGCACACGCTTCAGCAGCCCGCGCAATGGGTGCAGTCAACCAACAAACAAAAAACAAACAACCCCCGTGAAGTGAAGCCGAAGCGTGGGGGCGCGTCCACCGAGCAGTGGGGACGCGCAGCAACACGTGGGACGACCATCACACACACGTTCTCTCTCTCTCTGTTCCCGCACAGCCCAATCCAGGAAGAGAGAGAGAGAGAAAGCAAGCTGAAGCAAAAGAAGAAAAAGAAAAAGCCCATGTGTATTGAATGCGGCAACAGAGGCAGTCGTTACTGTCACGCAGCGGAACAGTCACCGACCCGTCCTCGCCCCATTCAGAGTGCAGTGGCTCCCTCTTCCTCCGCCCCCAGCACCAGGAGCGAGCATCTGTGCATTTATGCGATGCCGCGATTTGTCTTCTCCCTACTCATTTTATATTAATTTGCCCCCACACAGCTTCCACGCAAAACAAGTCCGCCCAACACACAGATATCAGCTTTGCGGCCACTGGCAGGCAAAGCAAAGCAAGAATTGTTATTTTCCGTCCTTCAAAAAGCAAACAAGGGAAGCGCAGTGAGTGAGTGCATCGTGCTATTATTATTACTTCTGCTGCTTCACTGCAGCCTGAGTGCGGGGCTCCATGGGGGATGGGCACACAGGTGCGTGTGTGTGTATTCATTACTACCCCACCGCAATTTGTTGGCGCCCAGCCTCCGTTCCTGCTGCGGCTCAAGGCGGCAGCATCGCCACTGCGGCGGCTGCCACGGCGAGCAGCACAAAGTGACTGCGGCCAACAGCCGCAGCAGCCGCACTGGCGTCGATTCCGACTCGCTGCGCCGCCACTTCAAGTTTCTTCTGCACGGCGCTGCCGTTGACGGATGCCGCCGGTGTCAGGGTGGGCGGCGCAGGCACATCGGGGGCCGCAGCAGCTGCTCCCGCCGCCTCCTCCGCCGCCGCCTCCGCGTCACTTTCTTTTGCGGTAACGGCCTCGTCCGGTGAGCGGGCTGCGGCAGCGGAGGGCGGCGAGGCAGCAGCGGAGTGAACGCCACCGTCAGGCTCCTTTGCGCGCCCCTGCGCCTCAGCAGCCGGCAATGTGCCGGGCTCCACCACCGCTGCGGCCTTCGGGTTGGAGGGATCGCCGCCCGCAGCCCCAGAGGGCAACTCTGCAGGCTGTGGCTCACGTGCCGGAACCTCCCTCGCCTCCACATCGTCGTGCTCCGCTGCACCTTCCCTTTGAGTCTCCTCGGCGTCTCCCTTCGCCGCCTCCTCAGCGCGCGGAATGACGAGGCTGCTGCCGTTGGCGGCGATGGTGCACACCTCCTCGTACCTCGGGCACTTGAGCTTCGCGCCTGCCTCGAAACCCTCCAGCGCCGCATCGATTGTTTCTCCCTCGGGGCACAGCACAGTCTCATTGGCGCCGAGGTACTTCACCCTCACCGCGCCGCCCTCCCTGCACTGCACCTGTGCACACACCGCGTGTAATTTGTAGCCGTCCAACCCGGCCTTCTCAGTACCCCTCAACTCGAGTGCTTCCGCATCGAGGCACCACGAGCCACTCCCGTGGAGGAAGCCGGGGATGTGTTTCTCTCCC